CTGCAGCACTGACATTTCCTCCTGAGCTCTGCGGTATTTGTTCTTCTTGGGGCTCTGCAAAGAGGGAAACAAAAGTTACATTAGTATTTCCTTTTAATTGCTGTTACTGGAATACAAACAATGTGTGTTATATCCAGTCAAAATAAAGTAAATCCATGTATTAATACATTTATTACCATTTAGTTAAAGATATTTTAATGCACTTAAAATCAAAATTGAGAGAAGACTTCATCATGTGTACGGCTGAACAATGTGGTAAAAATAACACAGAATCATAGAGTGAATACTTTTTCATTTCCCTAAAAAAGGATGCTGATGTGTCGGTACCAACACGTATTCTGTCGTTCTTCTATCCGGAGATTATTATTTGTGAGCCGGAGAGATTTAAATTACGTTACCTTTTCACTGGGAAAAGTAAGCCAATTACAGTAGTCTGAGTGAAATATACTGTTTCCATATAGAAAGGTACATGAAATAACACAATAGGATAATGTTTGCTTCATGTTCACAGAACTTTATCCCTGAATGCATTTTCCCACAATAACTTTGATTAAACAGCAGTGAGATATTAAAGGCTCTTTAAATTACGAGTGCCTCAGACTTCTTTAACAGTTCTCTACTGTGACTTTGTTTAATCCTCATTATTGATACGTTAGATTGTGTCATTAGAGCCCGAGCAGCGACTGCTTGCAGCTTTAATTTCAGGTTGTCTTGCACCTTGGTTCCTTTGTTAATGTGGTAACTGTTGCAGTATTTTCATTTTTACCTGAAACGTTCAGCTCCTGCAGACCTTCACCCAAAGCGTCAATATCTTCTTGTGGAATCTTCTCTCGTCCGTCCTTTGTCTCCATTTTCCGCTGAGCATAGGAGGAAATAATGTCTTTAAATGATGCTGCTAGCAAAAAAAAGACCATAAGAACTATTTCCTAATGTTGCATTGGTGGTTATTTGCCTTCATGAAACTCACCTCGTTTTGTGCAGCGGACTTCTGCACGTCTTCCTCAGAAGAGGAGGCCTCACCAGCGTCTACTGCCTTCTCCTCTTCCTCTTTCTTGCTTTTACCTGGAACCCTCTCCATCGTGTTCTCAACCTGCAGAGCAACCAGATATTAAGTTCCTGGGGAGGTTGTGCTGTGCTATACAGGCAGGAGCCCTCAGAGAGTCTGAAACTGTGGTTTCTTAAACCCCACTGGGACTGGATTTGGAAGTGGAAAGATTTTAACAACGTGTATGCGGTCACTTGTTGTGTGATAAGATGCTCTAACCGATCTAAACAATAAAACCTTCTCTGTGATATGTTGGTCTTATCGTTGTCTGGAGGGAATTTCCTGGGGATCAATCAAGTATTTCTGATTCTGATGTTTGTTGTTGTCAAGAAATGACAAAAATAAAGGTTTTTAAAAAGAGTCTCTTGATACATACTGTGACGGTCCCTGTCTAACA